AACTTTGAGGATGGAAGCTCTGAATTTTCGTCTCAAAGAGAAAAGATCAACGGATAACAGGAGCCCATCTTTAAAAAGTATCGGTGCAATTCGATCGAAAGGTATTTTAATTTGGAAGGAACACTAATTTAATAGTAATGTATATAAAAGATATCATTCATTTTAATTGCATTGCAAAGGATTTTTACTGGTTTCTGATACTGCTAGCTGCCTGTCTTCCCTCGGCGTCAACCCTCAAATGTAATCGAATAAAGGAAAAAGATCAACGGATCAAGCAAGAGAGCTAGGGTAAGTAATATCCCAAGTCCTAGATGGAGAAACGGAACTAAAACTGCAATAGGTCTAAGAGACCCGGGTATGTGATAAGAAAGATCAATAGGACAGGGGCATCAACTTACTACTATATAATAATAATCTCACTATTTCCTAGAACATACATATAGATTTTATTAACATTAGGTAGGTTCGACATATTATGCCACTCTACCACAGCGCTACCAACCTACTAAGCAATTACATTAATGGAAATTAAAGCGATGTTGTATGGGCACCTACACATATTTGAAACACTTGACAACGCTGTATTCGTATTCGATCGAAAGTAAGGCAAGCATGGTTTAAAGGAATGGTATGCACGTACCTACATTCTAAAACCATCGCGTTTATTCCCGTAAATGGAATCGTATAATATGGAAAGAAAAATTGATTTAACGTTACTTAATTAATACTGCATTGCCTAAAATCCTTGTTCTGCATTTTCAGCAATCATCAATCGAAAATACTAGTTTAGCAACGCTTTACAATCATGCTGCAATGGCGAACCGAATAAAAGTAAACAAATGTTTTACTATCAACTCCATGGTTGTATTATCAGTCCATCAGTACCAAGCCTAATCTCTTGGGCTTGTTGGCTACTTAAGCTAAAGGTGAATTCCTTGCCCTAATCAAAAGACTGGAGGTTTTGCTAATGAAACACAATCTATCTTTTGAATCATAAACTATTGGGCTCATATACAGACGACCTTATTAAATATCAATATGATCATTTTAATAGCGCGGTTTACATAAAGGAATAAACGCCATCTATCGAACTCCAAGTGAAACATAAAAAAAAACACTTTGTAGTACATCGATCGTAAACAGGGCTAGACTAAACTGATCTTATGAACCCAAACTCGAGAGATTACTAGCCATTGAAGAGTTTCTATGACTTTTTGCCTCATCATCAGATTAGATGCCATATTATAGTATTGTCCTGCCTACAAATATCATTTTGATCTGAACATTTAAAGTAGGGTAAACTTGAGTTCTAACATTTGTTGACTTATAGCAAAACAAGCGTGTTAAAAAGATAAACAATAAGTGGTGATAGACTATGGTGTCTATCCAATGTAATCTTGCTCCTATCCTGGCAATTGAAGAGATGTATTTAACACACAATCGAAACTTTCTACGTTATCCTCTTTAGGAGGATTACCCGCTTTAGGCTTCCGCTCTCTAATCATGTATTCTATACCAACAATAACTCTTAATTCCTCTTACAAAACTTGTTAGCCTGTCTAAAACAGGTGTTACGAGCTTCGCACCTACACAGCTCGGAAAGTTCACAAAAGGGGGTTGAAAAGTGGTGCGCGACGTGTTTTGTCACGCCATAATCAAACGTCACGTCACAGGGGGATGATCCAGCACCCTTACACCCTGCCCTCCCTCGTCTCCGCAAACATTCGTGTTACCACCTAACCTACCTTGTGGATTAAGAATATTGTTTGTTTCCATCCAGTGGAGGGAAGGTTAAATTTTTGTGATCGAACGGCGGAATGTTATTTTGATGTGACACTCAATTTCATTAATTTTCGATGGTGTTTGATATACGCTTTTTATATTATCGATTTTTATTAATACGGCAATGGAAGTGTTACTACGAGTATCGTTCTTTATTACATATAACACGCATTATCTATTACTGAGTTTAAAGCCCTTGTCTTCGTCGTGTAAAAGATTATTATTTGATTGAAAAGTTTGAATACTAAACTTGAACAATTATAGATGGATCCTAAATACCATATTATTCTAAATTTAACTTGTTAATTACTCGTTAAGTTAAATAACTAACACGTTCTAGTTTATGCTGCAAATTGGTAATATGGCCGGTTTTTATTGCCAAAATCATTTCCTACAGGTTTTGATCATGAAATTGCAAAGCAGATACCAAATATTAAACATGGATTTCAATATACATTTACATATTCAATGAGGAGTGTTCCTCCAGACGAATGATCCATTTCTATTTAATGGGAGTTTTGCATAATGATATTACTAGTAAACTGTCACACATTAAAGTTTATATCATGGCCTGTACAAGAACCAGATATAATTATATTTTTAAAAGTTCATATTCTTGTAATATATCTAAAGCAACAAATTTCGTATACAGGAAAATACTTAAATTAAAATTTGTCTAAATAAACTAGATCCTATGTAGTTACACACCTGATTTGCAAAAACTTTTTTGTTGTATAAGTTGAGAGTGGCAGGTACGTGACCTGAGGCAAGAAAGCGTCTGTAACCTAAAGTTTCTCAACATTTTAAATTCCTTTGAGTTTTATAATTTGATGTCGACGTTATATGAGACTGTCAGACGTAGCTATGAAGCAATCTTCAAGAAGTAACTCGTACAAGCGCTAATACATGTTTTAATAAAAAAAAATGGCGTGAGGGGTCTATGGACCCCCGGTCGGAACGAAGTTCCTTTCGCTTTTTTGTAGACGTTTGCTATACAGTCATTATAATTTATAAAATATTAAGTAAATAGAGTTAAATTGAAAAAAATATGATACAATATATTCATAATGTGAAAAATAAATAATGATAAGTTAAACAGTGAATAATCTGGGATAATTAAGTTAATAAAAAATAAAATTTAGGAAGTGTATAAATTTTATTTTACCTATAGCAAGAGGTGTCGGAAAAAAGTCTTGTTACACATTTTTTTAAACCTAGTTTTTAAGAACAGGCCTATGCTCAGCATTGGACTATTAACGGCTGTTGATGATGATGATGACACATTTTTCGCTCTCGCTCCCATTCGCTCAGAGCTTGTAACATGCGATGAGGAACTTCGTTCCAATACAAAAACAAATATTCGTTTTCTTTGGGTATTTTTAAACGCCGGTCGCACCAACTGGAACACAAGTCTTCAACACGAACACACTGCTGTTGCCCCTGAAGATAGGTGGAGAACCATTCCTGTGCCTCTGTTTTGATGTGTGAGGATAGATAGCTGGATTTCGTGATTGACGGTACCAAAGGCATTAGAGAAGTCGACTAAGACAAATACTGTAACTTTAGTATCTTCCATGCCCCTCCTAACTTCGCCAGTCAATTTGAGAAGGGCGATAATGATGCTGTGGCCGGGCCTGAAGCCGGACTGTAGAGGCTTTAGCTGTTTATTTTGGTATACAAATTCTGACCGCTGCTTGTATACACAGGCCTCGAGCACTTTAGATAGAAAGGAAAGAATTGAAACAGGTCGAAAATGTTCAAGAAGTGAAGAATTACTTCTTTTTAAGAGAGGGATGATGTAAACCTTACGCCAATAAGCAACAGACGCGCGGGCCGCGCGCACCCACCGACACTCGTGAGGCGAAGCGTATGTCGCGCGCTCATATTAAATATTTGTATTATTTGTTTACATTGTAAAATTCCTCTAAATATAATAGACCAGTACAATATACAGTCCACTTGCTTATTTTCGATACTAACAACATCATCGCCTCCAGCACTTGTAATTCTTAAGTTGTGGGCGGTGGTAGGCACTTACAATCAGGTAATCCATCTACTCATTAGCCTGACACCATAAAAAATATATGTTTATAGTTCCACCCCCGTGAAATTCCTAACACCTTCAAACCCCAGCTTAGTCTACTCGTAGATGTTTGTATTGCATTAAACATTCTTTGTTAGAAATAATAAATAAGGAACAAACTTCGCCCGCTCAGCAATATTACGTGTTGCGTTGCGTTTTTGCTCTTAGGGCTGCACTTTTTAGGGTGCTGGAGGTAATGTTTAAAAATGAAGATGTTTACAGAGCTGTTTAATGAAAACTCAACAACAAAAGCACAACAAATAAAGAGCGCTAAAGACTAAATAAAGTACCTTGTTAAACGTTTGCTTTAGACAATTATGTTTTTCGAAAACGCTTTTTTTCCCCTTATAGTTCACAATTTTTTTAGTTAAAAGTATAAATAAAATAAAATAAAAATAATGAAGATCTTGAATTTCATTCGGTCTTGAACGACTTTAATTGTTGTCATCCCTTTCGCTGTATGCATCAGGCTTAAAGTCAGAACGTGAACATTAAACATTGATACTGCGAAATTAATAAGTTCTTAATTAAAAAAAAAAAATCAAAGCCGGTCTTGCTCTTGTTTCGTTATCTATTCTTAAAAGCAATCTTAAAAATGGTTTGTTGTTTATAACCCGAACGATTTTTATGACAGGATGCTAAATTTATCATTTTAATAACTCTCAACCAGCGAACAATAGAATAGATTCCATGTTTAAATCATCGAATTATTAAATATAACATCCTAAAGTACAGTACATATTTTTAATTTTTTGATATTTTCGAATTAAAAATAAATATAAATGTTTTGACGATAGTGACGTATGACGCCACGCTATAGTATTTCATCTAAAAATGACGTCTATCGTTTTGACGTTTGATAAAAATATACCGACATGACTTGACAGTCCTCTACCCATTAACTAAACTAAACAAAATTTACTAAACTAAGGCACACCCAACTAACGAAACTAACATACATACACTCACTCCTGTATCTCAGAAAAGGGTAAGGGTAACGTTATTTTGTTAAATATTATTTGAACTCACTTACGTATTTTGGGAACACTTTGGGACACTTTTCAAATTAAAAATAGGAATAAAATTTAGTATATATAAGAGAAATTAGGATGAGAAAGGAGAATGGAAAAGGAGGATGCAAAATGAGGATCGGAAAGTAGGATGGGAAAGGAGGATGGAAAAAAAGGCTGGAAAAGGAGCATGGGAAAGGAGGATGGCAAAGGAAGATGGGAAAAGAGGATGGGAAAAGAGGATGGCAAAGGAGGATGGAAAAGGAGGATGGCAAAGGAGGATAAGAAAGCAGGATGGGAAAGGAGGATGGGAAAGCAGGATGGAAAAGGAGGATGGTAAAGGAGGATGGAAAAGGAGAATGAGAAAGCAGTGTATTGACTACAGATTATAAGCAATAGTTCGACCACATGAGGGTCACATAGAATTGAATATGCTTTATTATACACCAATTACGATATGATAGGAAAATATAACAGACGGATATGTACAATGGGGAAACCTTATCGCTAACAGAAAACTCTTACAGGCAACATTTGGATGGACAAATCAACAGCAGATGAGAAGGAAATAATAATTAAATTAATAGTCCCCGCTAAATTACAATTGACAGCTTTACAGAACAGAGCTTTCAGATTCAACAAAACTCAGATCTCTGTCTGCCACTGAAACTTACAAGTATCTGGGTATAATAGTCGTTGGGAATACCAGTACCTGACATGAAACAAACGTTGCAGTAACGCTTTTTTGGCCGCCTGAAAAAAGTACTTAAAAGCCTTTTATCAGGGGGCAACAAGCTGCGAGCATGCAATAGTTGGGTCATGCCGGTTCTGTTTTTTTTTTTTTTTTTTTTTTTTATTGTCTAATATAAAATTCACACATGCATTTTATCCTTCATATACCACACAAACCATCAAGAGTTTATCCGTGGTATACCAGACACATCTCGGTTACAATTTTATTACATATGTATATTTATAAAGTTGAGTATCAGCTAGACAGTAAATATTTTATGTAAACAGTTTTACAATTTTTTTTATTCATCTTGCTACAGGTTTCGATAGGTATGTTGTTCATTATACGGGGCAGCATGTGTTCCCACGTCCGCGTCCCATATACATTAGTATGCTTAGGTATTCTATAATTGGGTAGGTATGACAAGTGACGTAGTGACTCCAATCTTATATTTTCCTTCAATTTAGCAAGGTTGTGGTATTCCTCATCTAGTACACATACGCTCACTTTATCGAAAACATTTAATATTTGACAGTGTTTAAATAGGCCACATTCGTCTTCTTTAAATTGTAGTTTAGTTTTTCTAGGTACTATTGTTTTTAAGATGCTTAATTGTATGTTATAAATGTTTTCGAGGTAGGTCTTGTATGTGCGCCCATAGCTACCTAGTCCGTAGCCAATCACAGAGTCGGCAAGTGCGAGATACATGGTTCTAAGTGTTTTGTAAGGTAATTTATATTTAAGTACATATAATTTGGTATACTTAGACGGACTCAGACCGAATTAGATGCCCTTGACAGGAGAGTCCGTACACTGCTGACTGCATTCCGAATGCATCACCCACGTTCATCGCGGACTATTAAAACCCTACACAATCACACAATATTTTCTACACACAGTTTCAAACTAAGCAGAGATTGTACTATGAAAGCTAGATTATTATAAATATATACAATAAATATTGGTAACCATGAAATCACTTAGTCATGTACAGCTCCAAATCTGTTACTTGAAGGCGCAACAGCCAAAAAGTTCAATAAACCATTTTCAAAGTAAACATCTAGCAACGAAGGGTACTTTGGTAAACTTACTCACTACTAATAGTTAATGACCAACAGTTAACGCTTAAAAATCATCAAAATAAATATCACATTTTATTACTTAAACCAAACGTGATTGAGATCCACTAACAATAATTAAGGTATTTACAATATTGTTCTGAAAATTCGAGTTACTTTGAGAACATAATTGTTATCTCTAGTGATGCTCGAGTTGGGCTTAACTCGAGTAGTCTGAGTTACATAAAAAGATCCTTCAATTAAATCGTCTAAAGTCAACTTACCTCGTCCAGGTTCAGTTAATAACTTACTCACAGCAAGCAATTAAAACTTCCTATCTGCCTCTTTGTAAGCTATAGCCTGCATTAAACGAAGTGCTCGGGTATAACTATCCTTACATATTTATGTTAATTTTATTTACCTAAAACCAGTAAATAAAATAAAATAAATTTGATGTACATAATAATTTTATATAATAACTATGCATAAGTTAGCTATGCTATGCTTAAGTAATTAAACCTGAATATTTACTACTCCTGCTTAGTTCTACGCAACAACATATCGCTCCACGCACCAAATAATAACGTTATCGATTAAGTCAGATTTCACAGGTAAAATAAATCACTTTTTTTTACGATTATGTTAAACATTGTCCAACTTAAGAGGTTTAATTTATACATAAAATGGTTTAATTTCTACATAAAATGAAAGCTAATTATTTCTAGAATCATTTTGAAGAAACCTATTTATTTTGTATTTTCCTGAGTTTTTTTTAAATCTTGACATGAACTTGTTTACCCGGTCAAGATCAAATCGAATTCGGCTTACTTGCCAAATGATTTCATACTAAAGAAGTCAACTCGTCCCATCACTAACCCCATCACAAGCTAACGATCCGAATAACTTTGTAGCTGTTTGATTTTCGTACAAAATACATACCGTAATATCTCAGACATATAATATATTGAAAGGCATTTCATTAGAAAATCGTAGGCAAACCGCAGTTTTCAAACTGGGAAATATGGCCGCAGACGGTTTCCAAGCATATAGACTACACACATTTAATATGAATCTACGTTTTAATTAAGGATTATTTACTTTCTTACTTTGTTTGTGTAGAACATACTGAACACAAAATTGGTCTTCATCAGAGCTTTATGTTTACTTGAGCTCTTCGACGTTCGTTTATACTCATCGTAACGTACTAACTAGCCATCTCCGGCACTGCAAACAATGTTTGTGGTCACTGATACGTTGCAGTGAGGCTAAATTTTACTGTACTATTACAAATGTGAACGTTTGAATGTATGTTTGTCATTCAATCGTAAAGTTAGTTAACTTTACACCGATCTGTTTGGCATAAAAATAGATTTAATGAAATTAAATGAAATATACAACGCGTCGTACTAAAAAACTACTATGTCTATTCACAGCTGGACATAAACGACCCTTTAAGGACAAAGAAGGCAAATTTGTGGTAAGTATGGTATGCCTGCATATGCCTAAGTATCTTACACTTAGGGATATGCAGGAAAAAGGTTTCAAAAATATAGATTATGGACGAAAAAGTAAGAGAAAGTTTGTAATGTCCATCTAGTGTACAGAACGACGATCTAAAAAACTTGCAGGGACTATACACAAGAGTTCATATCGAACAGAAGACATCCTGTTTAAGGCTATGACAGTTATAAAGTACAAAAACGTTCAACAAACTTAGTTTATTTGTATGTAGTATGTTTTTACACTGTTTACATTTCACTTCAACAAAATACGCGAAAGGAAAATTTATCGTATTTGCCTACCCTAAGCAAACAACATAAGTCGGCCCATCCGTCCGTTACCCAAAACAATTTTATGAGTGACCATTGTTAAATTACACAAATAAACATATGGATATTATTCCAATTCGTATCGGCATAAAAGAAAAACCGTAACGGAACAAGGGGAAGTTGCAAAGGGTGGGTGTAGTGCATGGTTTAGGTACTTGCGTGAGGGATAAAAATGTGTAAGAAGAAAAATGAAATCGAATTGTTTCGACACCTGAAGAGTAAAGTTACTTGTATTTTCTATTTATGTTATAATGCCCAAGTATGGTAACATTAATTACCATTACATAGGTATATTTAAACTACGACATGAAAATTATACAAAACTTTAAATTTATTTTTTATTTTTTGGGGTATGTTGGTTTAGTGGTCAGTGATCTTGACTGCTAAGTCGTGGTCGAGGGTTCGATTCCCACTCGTAAAAATATTGTATGATGAGCATGCTCATTTTTTCTTTGCCTTTTGTATTTTATCTATTTATAATATGTATGATTTTACTTTTTCTACTTTCGGGGATAAATACGTAACACGTGTATGTTTTCACACTAGTCCATACTATAATATTACATATATTATAATATTATAAATGCGAAAGTATGACTGTCTGTCTGTCTGTGATCTCTTCACGCTCAAACTGCTGAATCGATTTAAATGGCATTTGGTACAGAGATAGTTTGAGTCCCGGAAAAGGATATAGGATAGTTTTTATCCCAGAAACCATCCTTTAAATGGGTAAAAAGGAGGGTTAAAAGATTGTATGGGGAATCAATAACCGCTCAACCGATTCAGACGAAATTTAATACAGAGATAGTTTGATTCTTGATAAAGGACATATGCTTTAACTAGATAATTGGCATTCACGTGGGCGGAGCCACGAGAAAAAGCTATTGTAAAATATATTTAAAATGTTACCTTAATATATCTAAACTATTAAGGGTGTACATAGACTATTTGAAATTCACCTGTAACTAAAACAAAATGGACGTAGACACAAATACGTTTACAGTACAAGTTCGACAAAAATCTCTTACAAATTATTTTTAAGAATTTCTTGTGTGTTTTTCCCGAAATACAGGAAATTTATATTGTAACAGAAGAACATGCAACATGAAATACTAATACTGTAGCAAAACACGTATTCACATTTCTTTGATAACTACCGCATTCATTGTCTAAAACAAAATAACGTTCGTCTCGCCAAATCCAATGGGAAAACGCACCAGCGGCGTTCACCGCTAAATTAATCCCCCAACCTTCCCCACATTTGGGTAATACTGGGTATTAACCATTCATACCCCGGCAATTCCCTTATTTCTCCCAAACGCACAAGCTATTTCTATTATTTTTTATTCCCGGCGCCAAGTTGCGACTATTTCGTCGAGTGAATAGTAGCAATTTGGCCGTGAATGCCTTTATGTTGTTACAAGAATTTTTCACTTCACGTCAAAAGCATGGAGTTATTTAAAATCCAAATGGTACCAAGAAATGTGGTAAAAGCATTTTGAGCGCTTTATTAGGCGACCACAGTAATTGTATTTATTTAATTAAAAATTACGAGACGAAAGAATTTAACTTTCTATTCATGATATACATTAATAATGTCGAAATACAAACAGTTGATGTTCCTGTTAAAAAGTCAAAACAATGTCGACCAGATATTTATCTGCAATAACTTTGAATATAAAAAGTCACCGGGTTGAAACAAACCTGTCAGCGACAAGACAGAAGCTTCTTTATAGCTGATCAATACACCCCGACAAAAAAAGTTATGTCAG